ACTAATTTCGTTTACAACTTATTTAAACACATACACACATACACACAACTACACCATCACCAAAAATAACATCAGAAAATGAACGGTCAAATAAAGGAAATACACAGATACTGTCTTTTTAACTACAATCCTGTTTGTTGAAAGACATAACAAAAATTTTTTTAACCAACCCTGACAACTACAATGACAGAAGAACAACAACATCTACTTTTGTTACCGCTACTGGTCTGCTGCTTATGGATACAGCTATTTTTTTAACCAATTTTTCCCCGTCCTCCCCCCCCCCCCCCCTCCCCGCCCCGATCCCCCCGCAATTAATAACGGTTACTATAACAGTAGCAACAACATTAAGTCAAACAGTTCCTTTTTCTTTTTTTTTTTCTAATTTTACAATTCTCGAACAAACCTAAACACATTTCAAACACTATATACAAACCGTCAGTTCACTACTGCCACTGCTAAAACTTTTTATTTGTCAGCTATGTATACGTATCAACCACAAATTTACTACAACAACAACAACTCAAGCACCTTATTACAACCATTTCTCAACTAAAACATTGTCCGGTTTTGCAACTCTTAAACAAAAATGAAAGAAAAACCCTCCAATTTTTACTCTCCTTCTCCTCCACTATCTTCACTTTATAACTTTTTCTCTCATTCTCCTCTCCCTTACTTTTTCCCTCAAACAGCCTATAGAACAACACAAAGGCAAAACAAATAAACCAAATCAGCTTAGGCTGAATTAAATATCCATAACAAAACAAACAAATGAAAACCAAAATTGTTTTCAAGAAAGTGTAAAAAACAAAGTTCTTTAATTAATCATGGCAGCAGAAAAGGTTTTAAACACGTATTACAAAATCAAAAAAAAACCCTTCCATAAAAAATGTTTCAATTTCTGTTAGACAGTTGAAAAAAAAATGATGACAGATAATTTTACCACTGTTTAACAGATACTTTTTTTATACAAAATTCAGTTGACAACAATCAAATTACAACTACCTTTAACTGTGTTGCCATCATTCTATAACCCCTTCTCTAAACTGTTTAAAAAAACTGATCAGTACTATCGTTAAAGAAGCTCAGCGAATGACCAAGGTATAAAAAAAATAAATAAAAAATAATGATAATAAAAACTAAAACTAAAAAAAAGTTACTGACTGTGCAATTTAATAATATTATTACTATTATTAAAATTAATAATGACATTAACATCAATATTAACAACAATCACTATTGTCCCTAACATATTTTCAATTCCTTATCAGTGCCTCTGGTAGAATTGCTCTGAACTTTCTCATCAAATAAACTGTCATCCAACAACCCCCACACCATCTGGCAAACGACATCAAAAACTTCGATTGCTAAACCAGCTCTCATTTCAAAAAACCGTGATTATAACGCCAAAACTGTAATTATACCATTCTACGAATTAAGGCTTTTTTTTTGTTCTAAACTGATTTTTTCATTCCACCAAAAAATTGAACCAGCAAATTCTCAATTAAAACAACAACAGTAACTCAGGATAATGTTCAACAAATCTAAGTTTACTGGTCATTATCAATTCAGAAAGCTACTATAATCACATATTACTGTAAAACATCTTTAGAAAAACCCCTTCTTTTTATGGCCATTATAATCACAATTTGGTGAGAGCTAAAACGGCAAAAAAGAATGTTGAACATCAATCTAGGGAATTTACTGCCAATTTCCCATGTAACTATTTCAAAAAAGCGTTGATTCCGGCACATACTAAATCATTTTTATTACTGTTTATCAGTAACACAGAACGCTGAATACTTTTATGACACTGTCAAACAAGCTTGTTCTTAAACAGCTACTCCTAAATAAGCTCTCTGTTTGCAAATTTTTTTAACAGTACAACGCTTATCGACTGATTACACTCCCTAAATAAGCTTCTTTTACTTATAATCCATATTAGATGTTGTCAAGGAACTAAACAAAGCAAAAAGTTGAATAAGTACTACTAATTTTTACTTTACATTTTAACTGCTTAGCGACTTACTGTACAAACCGACACCTTTTTTAACTCTTAAATATTAATGCAACAGAAAAAATTTTAAACAGTTTTTAACTATGAATTTTTAGAAGCTGTTCACAAGAAAAATAGTTAGAGGAAACAGTGAATGATTTTGAAGGTAACAAAAGAGACCTCTAGACATTTTTTGTTTGAAAGACTTGAATTTAACGAAGGAATGAAGCTGAAGATCAAAAATGCTGCGCAAAAAATACTAACCGTTAGACTGCGTAGTTGGGGTGACCGAAGTTGGAACTGGTGGCGTTCCCAAACCCGGCATCAGAAGTGGGTTGAAGATCAATGGAGGCCTCATTTGACCAGACTGAGCCATCATAGAAAAAAGGTCTTGACGTTGAAATGGCATTCTGGCAGCCATTGCCATAGCCATCTGTGGCCAAAATTGCATATATGGAGGCTGCGTGGCAATACCATTTGGAGACAGCGTATTTGCAGACGCCGATGATACAGGAGCGCTTTCACAATCACCGTCTTCCGATTTTTCAGCAGACGTTGACGCTGTTTCATCTTCTTTTTTTGCTGAGGCTGCAGCGGCTCTCGTTGAAAGCGTTTCAGCTATAGACCATATCTTACTTTTTCGAGGAGACTCAGCATTTGTTTCACCTGATTGTAAGGAATCGTTCCTTTTCTCGTCATTATTGTTAGACTCATTAGAGAGATCTAAACAAAAAAGAAAAAAAAGAACTTTACAATTTTTATGCTATACTGCTATAAGTAAAGAAAAACTATAAAAAATATTACTTTCAGGTTTCACTGAAACATTTAGGTCACTAATATTAGAAGCACTACTGGACGGTCGATCAGATGGATCTCGGTCTGATGGTTCGGCATCAGCAATATCATCATCATCGTCTTCGCCAGGTCGATTTCTTGGTGACCAGGTCATTTTATTTTCTTTTTTTAGGCGTCTTCTAGCATTAGCAAACCAAGTTGAAACCTAAACGATTATCAACTACTATTAAACTAAAAATAACTCATTTTATTCGGTGGGAAAAAAAAAGTGCAAAGCAAAATTCAAAAGTTTTAATTTGTCCTTACAATAAACTTTTTTGCACTTTCATTAAAAACCATATTAATATCTATCATTAGAGTAACTTCAATAAAAAAAAAAACAACATTATAGCAAAATGAAAAAAAACTAAAAGAGAAGAAAAAATATTATTATTGAAGATATTAATCTTCTTTAGTTGCAAAACGATCTGAGTAGTAAAAAATTTTTAAAAAAAAAAAGCAAGGAAATCAATCAGATGCCAAAAAAAAAGAAAAAAAAAAGAAGGAAAAAAATGACTGGAAAAAACAGTATTAATCGACCAAGACAATCAAAACAATTTTCAAGGACTTACAAAAATTAAGTGGATAGTTGGCATTAAAAAAAAAATTAAATAGAAAAAAAATTCAAACATCAAAGGAATTAAAATATTGCTTAGATATGTGCAATACACTTACAGTTACACAAAAACTGCCAAATGAATGACTCCTAACGAAAGACAGCGACACTCAGACTGAGACACAGACACACACCTTCAGACAGATACCAACTCTTAAAATATACCAACCACCTCCACCTACATCCTAAATGTATCGTACAGAAGACCAAAACTGGTGAAGAAAAAAAGCAGAAATAATTATCAAAATCTTTATAAAAGTTCACCCAGAAAAAAAAAAAAAAAAGAGAAAATCTAAAATTAAAAGTAATGGGCAATAGTTGCTTTCTTCCCAGAAAAATTTCAATTTTTCTTCCTTTCTTTTGTCCTCCTCCCTCCTTTTTGTCTGTATCAATATACTTCAATAGTTCACTTCAGATACACATAACAACATCTAATATACCTTACTCCCAAACTAAACGGTAGTGGGTAGACAAGAATTCGATAAATTGTCTTTTTTTTGTCCTCTTCTCTTTACCTTCACCACTTTGTCCTTTCATCAAAATTAGAGCTAACAAAAATAATAAACTCAACAAAAGCTCATTCTTATCAGTGGCAAAGCTCAACGACAACAAATAGAAAACAAAAAAAAAACAAAAAAAAAATGGACAAAGGACAATTGTATTGTTCTGCAAAAGTCAGCCAGTTGCCTTATCGGAAGCAACAGCAGCATCGTCACCACCATCACCAACAACACTACCAAAAAAAAAAAAAAAAAGATAAAATAACAAACAACAACGG